GATGCGTAGATTTAGTTACCGATGGTGCTCTGCTGGCGCGTTTTGCCCGTGGAGCTCTGCTGTAAACATAGTGTAATAAGCCATCTAAGGTTGACAAAAATTACCAAGCCACTGCGTTAGTTACTTTACCTTTCCTTTCAATAGAATCCTCGAAAATTTGCATTGTCATCCATCAATGATTTATACATCTTGCGAAATTCAGTCTGAAACACGAGTATCAGAAAGTGATTAAGTATTGTAAGCTTTTGCAGTCTTATGATGTTTCCCTTGGTCTCTAACACTAATTGCTGGTTACAAGAAGAGCCCGCAATCCTTATCTCTAGGTTGGTATTATGCACGAAGATGGTTCAGAGGAGGTATTCGTTAAGTGTTTCATGAAGATGCAGGCACTATGTGCTTACGCAAAGCTTATGGTGATGGAGTAAGAGCATTTTAGCCATCTATTGTTAGTGTCCATGTTGTAGGTCAATTTGTTCTTTAGGTAAATTTGTTTCAAACTAGGTTAATTTGATCTCAACCTAGGTCAGTTTGCTGATGTCTGTCTGTCTGGTTTTTTTTTGGCTGTGTTCAGATGTCTGGCACCTGAAATTTTTTTTAAAATACAGTCAAACCTCCCGTAAGCGACCATCCAAAATGTCAAGCCTAGGCGGTCGCTTATGGGGGGTGGTCGCTTACGAGAGCTTCCGTTAAACTTTTGACTGTTCTTGAGAGAACACTGATTGAATCAGGAAATCAGCCCTAATTTTCTGTAATTAAGAGATTTAAGGTCGTCTCTTTTAAGACAGATATAGTGCAGTGTTTGTGCATTTTTTCTTTAATTTTACTCCCCAAGGCAAATGGTCATTTTTCGTAAAGTAAAAAATATAAACGGGATATTTATGTATAATACACCATTTGAAAGGTGTTGATATGTAAATTCCATAAAACTCTTAAACAAAGAAGAAGAAAGATACAGCTTTAAGAGAAATTAGTCTAATCGTCAAAAAGAAAGAGATTAAAAATGTTGTTTATCTCTGTTTATAGTGGGTATGTACCCCTAAACTATATCTTATTTTTCAGCTCTCAGTGAAGTGGTTCATTTCAGTTATGTTGTATGTCACAGATGCATGAGAAAAAAAGTTTCAAAAGTTCAAGGCGTGGTCAATCAAGTCTCAAATATGGGGAAGGTGCAATTTTATGCCTTTAAAATGCAGATCTACCGAAGACAATTTTTGTGCCAAAAATTCAAATTAAATGGGCAAATATTGACCAAATTATTACCTTGTGTGCCAATTGGTATTCTTGGGGGTTAAAGAGTTAAATATTTTATTCGTGTGAAGAGTCAGTTTCAAGAAAAATCTGGTACTTCCCATTGAGAAATTTAATTCTGTCTCTTGTACTACCCAGGACTGGAATAATGCTACACCACCTTATCTAATTTCTGCTCTATTATCTGTCAAGTGGTTGCTTATGGGAGGTTAAAAACAAAAGAAAATGTCAAACTTTTAACTCTAAAAGTGGTTGCGGTTGCTGAAGAGAGGTCACTTAGAAGAGTTAGTCGCAAGTGGAGGTTTGACTGTACTTTGTATCTGGTTAGCCTGAATAGCATTCTGGTTAGCCTGAATAGCGCAAAGGTTGGCCTGTTTTTGGTTAGTTCTCCATAATTGGAATGGTGACAAGATAAATGCATGGTTATAAATGGAAAATTTTCTGAATGCTGGACACAAAGTTTTTTTGTTTCTTTGTTTTTTCTGTCTACTTCTCTTTTTCTTTTTTTGGGTTTCTGACTACATAGCGATCTAATACTAACTGCTAAAAATACTATGAAACCATGTGGTGAACGATAATAATTTTTAATTATGAGCACATTAACTTTACAGATTTCAAATCCATTGCACAATATCCCTACAAATGGATTCACAATTCAGCTAATTCAAATTTAATTTACTTCCTCCTTTAAATGTTCTAACTTGTATTTACTTGATTGCATCTCATTACATATGTTTCCCATCATATGTTTATTGACTGATAGCCTTTTTACAAGCAGATGAAAAGGTAATTGTATTATTATAGTCAAACTGTACACTTGTTTCAGTACACTTGTTGAGCCGGTTTGTAGAATTGTAGGTGGAGATTACTCCAAATTTGGTGACAACTTTTGAATAACTTTCCTGAACTTCAATGACTATGCCAAGAAGAACGTTTGAATGCAGTGGAGAGGTTTTATCGACTTTGTCAATTTTTATTACAACAAAGTCACCAATTTTGAATTTATTGACTCTGCCTCTGGATTCTTTCATTTTCTTGTTGTATTTTTGTTGTTGCCAGGTGATGTACTCTTCTGTAGCTTTCCTTTTGTGTGGGTTTTCAGGTGAAGTTCCTGGATGATCTGCAGTAGAAGATCCCATTGTACTCTTTCCAGAACCATTTGGATTATTAAGCGACTCAGATATTTCATTGAACTCTGTGGCTGTTCCCGAGTTTGTATCTAGTTCACATTCTTCTACATGAAGTTGAACCTGATTTTTTCTGTGCAGGGGAATCTCTTTCCAGGGAAGCATTCCAAATACAACCTCGTATGGTACTTTATTTATCCCCCTATGTAATGAGATATTCTTCTTGTATGCCACTTCACTAAGGACTTTGCACCATTTGTTTAAATTCTGATCACGTTCTTTGAGTATGTTGGTGATGTTCTCCTTGTCTGTTAACTTGTTTCGTTCAACAAGGCCCTGTGTTGTGGGCCAGGCAAAAGCCCCCTAGGCCAAATATGGAGGACAAAAAGGAGGGTCTGACTGAGCAATGCACAGCGAAGGGGAAAAAGGGGAGTAGGAGAAGAGTTCTTAACCTGTTTGTGGCTGTTAGCTACAACAAAGAGGTTATATCTTGCCATCGTTACGAAAAGCTAGATAGACAGTTTTTTGAAAAGTTTAGTAAAGCCGATGTTGCTAGTTTCTTTAGAAAAGCCGACAAAGGGCCCTCCCACCTTTGGTTTCAATACGGTGATCCGAGCCAGAACACTGTGGGAGTGAAGAAGGCTTTAAGAAAACTTGAAGCAGAATTGTTATGCACCCCTCCCAGAAGCCCAGATTTAATTGTTTAATTCAATAAGATGCGACCTGAGCCAACAAGCTTTGAGTCAAAATGTTACTCGTGAAAGTTATGACAAATTCCAAAGCTGAATCGATTGATAAAATTATTGACTCAATGAATAGTCCTATAGATTTAATCATTAAAAAGAAACGGAACAGAATAAAGAATTAAGCAGTTGTGTTGAAGTTGAAGTGTGGGCGGAACATTTTTGCTCCCGATTAAACAATGTTGACCAGGAAGGTTGGGGTGGGGGGAAGGGGAGGGGAAGGGGGGAGCATTAAGCTAAATTCCCTGGGTGTGTCTCCTGTGAGTAAGAAAGTGCAAAATTCTTAACACTTTTTGTCCAAGATTGTTGCCCTTCGCTTCCAGGATGTGTTACCTCCTCACCCAACTTGTGATCACACAACTTACAAGCAGTCACCATTCTTGGCACTCTGTTCATTGATTGCCTGTAGAAGATCGGAACTTCTAAAATCATGTGCAATTTTGCGGTTGGTATTCAGCTCTAATGTTTTTAGGTGCTGGGTAGAGGCTGTTGAGGTGGTGCGTTCAGTGGTGGCTTCAGGGTGATATGCTAGTAGATTGAGGTTGTTCTTGGGTGAAGGCTCCAGTGGGCAACACCGCATGGAGATGAACACAAATTTTTTTTTCACATGTTCATATCTTCCTATGGCAATAAATGCCTTGCAGTGGCTGTCTTTGGAGCAGCAAGCCAAAGCCCCATCTTTAACTTTTATGTGGCAATGACAGAGTGTATTGTTGGTGCCGGGAAACCACAAACAATAAACAACACGTCTGAAACTTGGAAGACATCAGGCCAGGCACTGGTTGCCCTCAGTAAAGCAGACAGTGATTCCTTAGAGGTGCTGTCTTCATTATAGCTCTCAATTTTGCGGCAGACAAATGAAACGTCTGAAAGGCAGGAGTAGCATCCCAGGAAAGGTAGGCATGTTTGCAGGAAAAGTTTGCTGCACGTTCAGATAATACAAATGTCGCTCAAACGTCCATGCACTGCTATTGCGAGCAAGACATGCTCCCTCCTTCCTTCCTTCCTCCGAAACAACAATTGTCCTTTGTGCTCGTCTTACAAGAAAAGTGAGACGACAGTTTCTTGGAGGCTGGCTGGTTTGTTCCTCCAATATCAATCACATTTCTTGTAATTTGAGGCTTCCTTCGATTAAATTAATAATGTCCACACTGCGGACATTTACCAAAACTTCTTTTGTGCCCTTGGGTGAAAGCGCATTGACACATGTGGCTTACACACAGACGGATAGAATAGAAGTGACAAACAAAATGAAATGAACAGAGACGAGGACTACCTTTGGCACGAGTGCAATGGAACAAATAAGATAACGAACAGACTACGAACAAAAAAAATGTAACCATTGAACGAAGTGAAACGAAGAAACACCAAATAACAGTCAAGAAAACGCACTTGCAAAGCGAAATGTATTGGACAACTAGAACAAATACAAGAATAACAACAGAAAATACTAGTGAACCTCTTAGCACAAGTGACACGATGAACAAATGCAGAGAGAATAACCCTGGATAAGCGAAATGAGAAAGATGAAGACAATCAAACACATTGAAATGAGCGGAATGAGCGGCTGGTTTATGTTATAACCTTGTGGCCAATCGAATGGCTTACAACCCACGCAACCTGATCAAACAAACCAGCCAATCACAGAGCACATTACTAGAGGTGCGTGTAAACTGCATGTTTGACCAGACGTTTTTCAATTTTGGAAGCAATGTTTTCCTCATGCTGTGGTTGGTTAGCTTCTTATTTGTCCTTAGAGAGGAGTTGATGGTTTTCATGATGTTGCCGATGGTATTTTCTTCCATTCTAATTTTGGTGTACCAGATATCATTTGGTTGAGGACAATTTATACGCTCAGGCACAGTGGCCCTTTATCTTTCATTCCGTCGGGTCTCTTGGATAACCAAAGCTTGAAGAGGTGCACTTGATCGGTTTTTCCACCATTGGTGGAATACATAGCTTGCAGTGTTGGTCTTCGCAATATTGTTAGACCACCACTTCGTGTTTTAGTGGGACCTTCTTGGAATTGTACAACTTCCTTGCCCTCTTCTTGTTGTCTTATGATGAAGTCCTCTACGTAGGCTTCAGTACTCCTGGCGACCTCTAAATCCAACTTGCTCAGTCAATTTTTTTGAAGTTAACATTGATCTTTCTGTTGAAATCACCAAGCTGACCTTTTACCCAGAGGGGTAGGAGGGGTGAGAGGCTGGAATTTGTTTCATCTTTTCCCCTTTCCTTGTTGTTGAAGAGAAATTGCCTTTGTGGGGAGGATTTCTTGTGAGTTGTGAAACTCCCTTTATTATACCATGTTCAGTGCATAATTCCTCTCCTTTAAATACCTTTTCTTTACTTTGGCGTAGAACTTGCTCAGGATGTTGTCAAGCTCTTCTGGCGCCATTGTTTCTATGTTTACATTTTCTGGATGCCAGGACTGGCACCAACTTTTGAATATATTAATCCACTGTTCTGTCGTGTTGGACGTATTTCTATTGATGACAACAGCCTTGAGCTCTTCAATTTCTTCGCTTGAGATTTCAGGGAACCTGGTAGAATCTACATTTTGTACTTTCTGAGTTGGCTCTGGATTTGTCTCTGTTGCTGGGCTCGGGATCCCACGGATCCGGAGTGGATGTGAAGGAAAAGTTATCAAAATATTCATCAAACTGGACATTGAATGTTGGAAACTCACCCAAAAGTACTTCTTCAGCCTCAAGGAGTTCACTATCATCATTAAGAACCTGTAAGTAATTATGTAAGTAAGTAAATTCGTTTTCCTTTTCCTGCAACTGATTGGTTACTTTGAATGATCGCTTTTGTTTACGTGCTACATTCTGAATGGTTGGAAAAAAGGTGTGATTTAGAGCACAAAATACTGCAATTTATGAATAAATCACATCGCTCAGAGCCAATCATTTTGTAAGGATCCCCTGTGATTTCCGAATGGATGTAATAAAATGAATAATCAATAGGCCACAAAATGTTTAGTCATCGATTCATAATAATAAATATATTAATAAATACAAATACATAAATACAAAGCTCAATGCGCTTTACAATGATTTACAAACAGAAGATAAAATCAAAATCCGTATCTATTTAACAGTCCAAAGCCTTTTTGGAACTTCTTTTAATCAAAGAGAAAAGTTAAGTGTGACCTAGTGTCCTTAAAGGTGAACGATTCATATCTGAACGACGACCTGAGTCTTACCAACTGTATGAATTCTTATTGCTCATCGGTCTTTACTGTTGAGGATCACAAAAAAATTTCCCAACCTCGAATATATTACCAACAAGAAATTATGTAATATCTTTTGTTCTGCCATGGAAGTTGAGAAATTCGTAAGAAGTTTGAATATCTAAAATCCCCTGGGCCTGACTGCATATCACCTCGCATCCTAAGAGAATGTGCTCAAGTGTTGGCATCTCCACTGACTTAATTCTTGAATACATCATTCTCTCGAGGTGAACTACCCTGTATATGGAAGTTGGCCCACGTCACTCCAGTTCACAAGAAAGGGAGCAAAAATCTTTTGGAGAACTAACGCCAAATATCACTGACTTGTACTGTATGCAAGATTGCAGAAGCTGTGGTAAGGACCCATGTGGTTTACTTTTAGTCAGATCTTAATCTTTTTAACCCAACCAATTTGCGTATCTAAGGGCCAAATCTACGTTGGCACAATTACTTACATGTTACAATGACTGGGCAAAGGCTAGGAATCGATCGCAGCAAACAGCTGTCATTTTCTTAGATCTCTCTAAGGCTTTCGACACCATGCCATATGAGCATTTCTCGCTGAAACTACGACGGCATGGGATAGATGGCTCTCTATTACTGTAGCGTGTCTTGTGAAGGGGCAATTGTTCAGATTGGTCACCCGTGATTTCAGGCGTGCCCCAAGGAACAATACTCGGCCCAATCTTATTTATCATTTATATAAATGATATTTCTCAGTTACTCTTTTCTTAGTTACTCTCTAGGTGTGCAATTAAAATCTGTTGAAAGTTTCAAGGACCTAGGGATCACAATAAATTACGATCTATCTTGGGGTAAACACGTCTCCTACATAGTAAACAAGGCAAAGAAGTCCTTTTTTTGAAGTTGCCATGGATCTTGCAGTCCTTGGTGTCCATGGCAAGGTTTTAATAAATATTTAAATAATATTAGTTATAAATAAGAAGGGCTACATGTGTATTAATGCGAAGGGTGGAAGATCCTGCATGTAGAATCAGGCAAATTTTGAAACAAGCTTATAATTTTTTCAACCAGTTACCGATTGGGGCTTCAGTTAGAAGGAAAGCTTTCTACCGACATTATATTCCTTGTTAGATGTTCATAAATGACACTGCAATAGTTAGAAACTTCTTTCCAAAGGGATTCTATCCTTGATCATGGATGTAATTACTAAAAGAAGCTTTCTAAAGATTTGCCGCCAACTTGATGGGAATTTGCATATGATGATCACTTTTGATAAAAAAAAAACATGCTTTACGTACAGTTAAGTACAACAATCTGATTGTACAAAGTAAAGGGCATTGCAGTTTAATCTTAAAGGGGCTATGTCAGCTGGAGAGCATGCGCTCTGAGGTTATGCAAATTACTTTCAACTGTCAAAATTCTATTGTTTTTAACGCGTGATTTCTCCGTGTGCGCTCTGAGTTTATGCAAATTACTTTCAACTGTCAAAATTCTATTGTTTTTAACGCGTGACTTTCTCCATGTTCTCTGTCACGTCCAAGGCTCCGAATTTAGAGAGGTTAACAAGCGAAATGGGTTTAGATAAGGGATATTTCGATAGAATTTACGGAACGTTTCTTCTCTGGTTATGCTAGATCAAGAATAAAATTGGGACGACAATTTTACTTGTAGTTTTGGAGTAAAAACGCATGCCATTCATAAAATGGTGCGCAAACAAAAATTCAACAACAACATATTGTCTTATTCAACAAAATAAATCGAAGTTGTATTTTACAAACGAGCTACAAAAGACGCTAGACCGAAGGTAAAGACCAAGACTGTTTCAAATCATTAACAATTAGACTTGTCTGTCGCTAGTGATTTTATAATTTAGATGCTGATAGAACAAGAGACATCAAGTCTTTGTTTTGATCTTAGGGAAACATACATTATCGCACAAAATTGTTCGATCGTGCCGAATCACTGCGACGTCGAGAAAAACAGAATCAAGCATCATTGGTATACTACTCCACTATAAGCAGTCCGTTGATAAAAAGGGAAAGTAAACTCTGCTATTTTCCAAAAATATGCTCGAACACAAACAGTTTAAAAACATGGCATTTACAGGATCTAACTCGTACTAAGGTGCCTCTCTGAGTCCGTTGAGAACAATCTGGACGAGCAAACGGTCGTGTTTATCTTTGCCGTGAATCCAGATAAATACAAGAAGGAATCTAGCCGAATTTTATAATGTTTCCTTCGCCAAGAGTTTAGTTTGGTCACGAAATTCATGGCCTGATGCTCTTGTAATCGTTTACCAAAAAACAACCGCCGCCAACTCGATAGCCGCTTCATTATATGTCAACATACTTTGAGCACAAGAAAAATCCAAGAGCCAGCAACCTCTAAAATAACTCAAAAGAAAGGTTCTGTGAACTATAGGGAAGATTCCATCAAAGATTCCATCACTCTTTGTGGAGTAGCCGTCATTAACTCTGCCATTACAACGGCCGCTGATAAGAGGACACAGTAAATCCACGTAAAAACATTCCACAGGCAAACAATTTCAAAATAACGCCAAAAAATTATTCTGTACTCACCAAAGAACGATTCTTAATACAAAACTTCACTAACTATCGAACGATGGCTGAGATTTAGACAGATAAAAACAGCCTTCCAAAATCTCGGACAGAACTTGAAAAAGACGGGCCAACTTTTTCAAGTTTGTTTTCATTGGCTTGCGCATGCGTGTGGGGTGACATAGCCCCTTTAATAGTACATTGCAAATAAAAACATCAGACATAAGGAACTTCACTTGTGTAGTGGTTTATCATTATGTCACACCTGCTTAATCTTTTGCTGACATCTAAAAACATTGGCATCCCCCCCTTCCTGCCTTCAGACATTTATCCCCCCCCCCACCGCCTTTGTGGTTTGAAAAATAAATGCAGCCTTACTTGAGGGAAATTGTTCCAAAGGACTATTATTGACAAATGAAAATTCAAAATTGGCTCCAAGGCTTGGAGAGTAACACAACAGAAATGTGGTCTCGTAGCCAAGTATAAATTTTAACATATCGGAATTGGCCTATTCAGCAAAGCTTTTTCGCTAAAATAAGCTTCATCTCAGTTCTGTTCACATATCCAGGTTGTTCTGGGGACTGCTGCCTCCTGCAACACTTGACCTGCAACGCTCCCTGTAACGCTCTCTGTTGGAAAAAAATCAATTCTCAGTAAAAAAAAGCAATGGTTATTTATTACAATGGGTTTCACTGTGACTTTGAATCGCGACATTTCAGAGAATTTTGTTCGCCCCTAGGGCTGTAGATCCATGGTTTTTGATACAATTTGATACAAGCTGCTGTTCGAGAAATGCACCCGCACCTTCCGCCTTTGCCTCCTTCCCACATCCTGCCAGCTGAGCAACAAATTTACTGCTCATAGAGCCATTTTACTTGGCACAGCCTAAGGAGGCAGGTCCACCCTTACCTAGTAAAGTAGCTGTCAGCAATTACAAAATTAGTAATAATATATTGTCAAATTATAATTATATTTAATATCGAAAGACAATCGACACATCCAAACCAAGCCATGCAAGTCAGGTGAACATCGGTAAAAATGAATTAAAAAATTAAAACCCCAAATTTGCAGGTTAGGAGTTTTATTTGACTGAATTGTGCCTGGCTGCCTTGGCTCACTTGCTCCATTTCAAACTAAAATTTCCAGGCTGCGAGATATTCGTGTCTGCGGAATTGGAGAAGTGCTGGAACAGGCTGAACTTTTACACACTCATCAATAAATCCAGGAATAGATTTAAGTCAGGCAGCCCAACAAACATGCATCACATGGAGCCCATTCAACTGGAAATAGGGAAGAGAAAACACAACAGAAGGTTCATTACCTGTTTCTGGCCTCATTTTTGCGGTTTGTATAGGACCTTTAACGTGTCTCCTCACATATGATCTTAATGGCCCACAGATGTCAAATTGATTAATTGGCCAATAGGCGTGCAAAACTGCAATCTGGAATAGAGAAATAGTTTCGTGGCTGAAATAAGAAAAGATTGGGAGAAAGTGATGCTTCCAATGATATATTCCCATTTGTTAACAATGCAGGAAAATTATTAGCACTGATTTATATCACGTGTCTGCTCGTCGCAGTGTAGGTGAAGACTAGTTCTTTTACTCTCCCACTATCGGTTAGGTGTTTCAACTTGTTGGTGCTAGGAACACGTAAGGGGTCATCCTCTCTCAAGAGCACAAACCTTCTCTTCAATGTTCGTTGTCTTGGCCTGGCCAACATTTTTGAAAAGATAATAATTTCTTTGAATTTCTCGGATTTACAGCAAATGTGGCACGAATGTGCAAAGTGTTTGAAGAGACAATAGAGAAAGTCTCACAAATGCCTGAGGTGTTCAATCGATAAAACCGATAATCAATAACAATAATTATTGATAAAATCGATAAGAATTAAATTGTATTGGAAATCAATAAAAATGAATAAAGGGATACGTTGTGAATAATCGATAATTATTGAACTTATCAAATTTATTGGCGCAACACATCTCCAGGTATTTAAGGGCAGCGGAGTATCACAACTTCTCGAAAACCAGTCTTCCAAAAAAACACTCTTGTAGGATAAGTTTTAAGATTTATGTCACAAATCAAATATTGAACAAATACGTGAAGACATTGTACGACAGTAGTACAGTGCATGTCGATATAATGAACAGACGAGGGACTGACAAAATGTGTTCGCTATGCCGAGGTTTTGTCACATTGAGGTTCTTTTTTCGGTATCTTACCATTACTGGGGTGAAGAATATCATTTGTTAGACTGAGGACTGCTTTATATAGAGGTTTGTTAAATTGAGGTTCCACTGTAGCTGTCTTTTTAAGTATCAAAGCTACATTGTAGTTACAATTCTACACATAATCTCCAGTGACATTTTTTTGGAAAAACCCTTGCTGCAGCAAAAATCATACTGCATAGCAGAGTTAAAATCGTCCTATAAATAATGACAACAAAGTAGATGATGAACTCCGCAGCTAAACCAAAACAGAAGTAATGTACCAAAAATAACTGTTATAAATGTGAGAGGAACTCAACATTAAAAATAGGTCTGCAATGCGTACATGTGTCTAGTGCTGGGTAATTGAGTAATGTGTATATGGTTATATAGGATTGCGTTCGACTTTGTGAATGCAATTAGGATTTACCCGCCATAGAGTACAGGAGTGGAGGCTGGGGTATAATGTGAAGCTCCAACAGCCTAGCAAAGAAATATGGCTAGAACTAATAAACGTGTTGAAGGTGATATAGAAAAGTAAGGAGGAGTAGTGGTTGGTCTGCTATGGGGTGTGGTTAAAATTATTGCAGACATTTTTCTGGAAGTAGTGCTAACTATTATGAATTTGTTTTTTTTAACATCACAGTGGTAACAATGAAATGAATTGAACACAACTTTATTTCAAGGCAACTGGTTGTAAATGAAAAATACAAAAAGATTGTTTAATTTTTTAATTACTTACAGAAGCATGTTTCTTCATACATATGAATTAAAAACAATAAAATGCAAAATTCATAAGAATAATTAAATGGCGGTTTAGTGACTAACATTTTCAACTATTCTACTTCATCAACTATAAGTTATAAAACGATGGCGAAGTAAACAGGATAGATTCTATGTCTGCTTGAGAGAGTTCTTAAAACTTCAGCAGCATAGCCAGTTAGCGTAGCGATTTGGTGAATACCATCTTAAAACGACCCTTGGGTGATATTTCACAAGATTACAAGTTCTAGTATGACTTTGTCGGAAGGAAATTGCCACAGCTTTCGTATATGTTTGGCTAATGAAAGGTATTTTCACATTAAATCCTTCAGCAGCGAAAGATCTTCTGCCGTTTAAATTTCCCTGACAGGGCTTATTTAATCCCTCAGCGGGCTTTGTTATCCCCAAAAGGGACTCAATATTTCCCATAACGGGCTTTTCTTTCCCCAAATGGGGCTCATAAAGCTTAATTTGTATCCTCTTCGCAGGCGGTCGCAAAATTGCAGCATGGAGATTCTGTCGGCACCAAGTACCTCGATCTTCAACTTTGAAGCATCTTTCGAAACCTTTCATTCGGCTGGATTGACACATACTTCGAAAGCTGTGGCATACTAAGAAAATACGTCTTAAGAAATTTATCACAAAGTAAGAATCTAAAAGGTAACTTACCGATAGGACAACTCTTATCACACATGTTGAAGAAAGCAACGAAAGCAAATCGTCGTAAAGAGTTTTCTTGCAGTTGTCAGGAGTTGTCGTGGAAAGCACATGGTGTTGGCGCAATTGTCGTCTGTACTAATACACATTGGTTCCGATTGTCATTGGTTGTTTATTTCGGGTCACAAAGAGTGAATATCGATGATATTACCCTCCTGGTACCCAGTAAAGAATGCGTCATGTAATGTGTCACGTAGGAGAAACCTCAGTGAAACTTTATTCGTATGACATAATAATTTGCCATATATGAAGCACTTACTAGAGGATTTTAGCGTTTCTCAAAGTGTCTGTGCTTCGCACTAGACACAAAAAGTGCAGAAAACATATGTGGAAATGCCAATAAAATAGACATTAGAATTACTATCAAAAATGCGTGTTTTTTCCTGTGGGTCACAATCCCACAAAGATAGAGGAGGGTGCATGTCATTTCTGAAACTCCAATTATTGTGCTTGGAGCATGCCATGATTTTGGAGTTTTAAGTTTGCTACACTGGTCATCGTGAGAGGACGTAAAATTTTCATCTTCAGCCAAAGAAGCTTTCGACAGTAAAGAGAAGTTCAAAAAAGGCGGCTTTCTCAGTGTCCCGGACGAATTCTTGGCTAATTTTCATCCCGGAAAACCTGCACCGGAGCCAATTGTTTTGGAAAGGTTATTGACAAATTTAAACACAAGCCCTCGAGATAATGTTCATTGTGTTGTGAGTGCTATTCACGTGTTGGTCAATACCATCATACATGAACATGTACGCCTGAAAAAGACGGAAAGTGAAATGGCTGGTGAGGGTATCAGTGGAGGAAGATGTCAACTATCAAAAGAATCGGACAATTCTTTGTATTGGTATTGTGGAGCAGGTGTGTGTAGAATTAAACTGCGGAAGGAGACTTCCCGAAAAAACTGGCGGGGAGATTTGTCAAAACAGTGGAAACCGGTTATGGAGCAGGAGTTGGAAATTTGACAGCAACTTGTAATGAAGGATAAATCGGCCATTTCCTCAAGTCTGAGAAATCTTGATGAAGGGAATCTGGTGTTTCCCACAAATGAGATGAAAACGTTTTTGCGATCTGAAGGGAGTACAATTGTATCAAGGGAAAAGCATTCTGACTCTCTTGTCTACTTAAATTATTTACAGGTACACGTATGCATGTGCATGCATGTACAGGTCATATTCACCCATATTAAAGAATCAATACAATTTAAGAACCTCCATTTAGTGGCCTGACCATTCACAATGTGACTATGGTGATCGAAGTCCGAAAATAGTTCCAAGAAATGTAAATACATATTACTATAATCACAAGTATCTTGTGGCCATCCCAACAATAATCTGTTGTTTTCACATCTATTTAGAGGTCACCAAACACATTATTTACTTTGATGGGATATATTTTACACATTATGGTAAAGGAAAAAAAGTGATTCTGAACAAGTAATGTTTTTCCTGTCATTTGTTTATTTCGAAGTGGTGTTTCTGATAAAGACAATGTGCTAATTTATGGTGAACCTCTAATTGGAGCGGCTAAGTGGCCCCTTGCCGGTACTCTGAGGCCACGACAGGATGGCCACTTAATGGAGGTTCAACTTTACACTGTAACAGAGAAATTCAGTTCTTTCTTTCCTAAGTCCAGCAGCCCCTGCATTGTTTTTCGTACTTATTGTTGTCTGTCCATATCTTATTGAATTTTGAGCAGATTCTTGCAAGTGATTGGTTGGATTATTGTTGTGCCCTTTACAGGCTCTCATTTGGCAGAAGTGATTTTCTACACAGTCTTGATTAAGGTGGCGCAACTGGATTTTTTTTGGGGGGATACCCCCAAGTTTGAGCATTAACTACGTCGCCATCCCCCCCCCCAAAAAAAAAAATCCAGTCGAGCCACCTTAATGATGGGTGGTTCAATCACAGATTGGGGAAATTTCTTTAATTTGATAGCAACAATTGACTCAAAACCAAGTATCATTGATTGAAGATGAAACCACAATTTGCTTGTGAAAACTTTCTTGCAAGATTCATAGCGAGCCTTGGCTTTCCACTGCTTTAGAAAAGACAGAAACTCTTGTAGTTCTACCAAATGTTGGTCAGAGAGGCTTTTGATGTTTCGGGGGTCATTGAACAGCTAAATCGCACTGGGCCAGTAGCTCTATTGTTGAATCTAGGCTGCTGCCATCCTGCCCTTTGCTAACAAGGTGACTCTTGTAAGCCTAAAATTTCTCCAAAAAATTGAACCAATAGTACATTTGAATATTAAGTTAACAAATTATTACAATCATATACTATTGTAACTTTGAAAGACAATTTTAGAGATCAATCAGACAGGTAAATTGAGTTAATAAAGCTTGATACCAACTATAAGTATACAATTAGATGCATTGCCGATTAATCTTTTAAGAACATTTTGAACAAACCTTTCTTTTTTTATTATTTTAGACTATCAGAATACAGAATGCATGCGTTTGGAACTGAAAATACTTTTATGGGGGTCAACATGTTCCTATCAAGCACGTCTTCTGCGAGATGGTTACACATTTTGGAGGCCGGGTCTAACTGAAAATGGTCCTCTGTAAACTTGTGGTGGAGGGACATGCAAAATTCGCCTCGATCGTAATTGAACGCTTTCCAGAACTGGTCCCATGTTATGGTCTTTCCTTTTGAAGTCAGGCAACGGGTTCCAGAATCTTCTGTCAAACTCTTTAAAATGTTATTTCGTGTCATCTTAAAGTTGTGCTGAAGGTGAAAATCAGGACAGTAAGGTTGGACACCATACTGACACTTTTCCTTCTTGTGGTCAAAAATTACCTCTTATCTTGTATTTTGTGAAAACAGTTATGAACATGTAAGCGAGTTGTGAAAAGGTGTACTTAGGGCTTTAACATCAAGTGGTGCTATCTAGATGAAACTTAAAAACCAAACAAACAACCAAAAATTTTTTGAGGACCCTCAAAATGATGTTTCTGTTCACTTAAGTGTTTATGATTTCTGTTGATATGATTAACGACACATATGAAGTGTATATTCTAGATACAAAAAGTAATTTAGCTTAAGAGATGGTTTGTATGCATCTTCACAGTCATGGATTTGGTTTATCTAATGTAATCACAAGATAGGAACATTTGATGTGAGGACTTTTTTGGCATAAAACTGCTGATGTCAGATTCAATCCTGTCATTTCATTCTTTACGTTATCTACCTTTGAATCTATCATGAAGACAAAAGGTTCCCCTGTGTACAGGTTCTGGGATCCCAATTTTTTTTTTCCACGGCTTCATCTTCTCATTTAAAGTGCAGTTTTACAATTGTCTGTTACATCAGCATCATCAAGGATGACCAATACACATGGAAGCCAGTTTCTAACATACCCAGAGAATGTGGAAAAGATCTGTAGCTGTACATTAACTGGATGGGAACTGGGCAATTGGAAATCTGAATCCACCATCACTCAAGAATATGAATTGAAGAATGAGCATGAGCAGCAAGTCTTGGTTCCCTGCTTTGACCTGAAGATCAAACAATTGAATATCCTAAATTTCAAGTCTAATTGTTAATTAAAAATTTAATACCATACAACCTACTATGACAGTCATTTAGTACTCCTGATCAGTGACACAACACAAACAGAACAGAGACAATATGTATTTAATTATTACAGTACCTGACAATTTTCCAAACGCATCATGCATCTACCCAAGATCCACAAACCCAACGAGTTTATGTTAACCATGTTTTACAACCATTTCAATGTATTCCTGAATGAGACAAATAATAAAAGATTTAAAGATTATAGCTTTTATTAGTATTTTTAATATTTGCTTATTTAGTTGAGAAATCCAGCACTCACTTGTCTTAATGTGTTGTAGAGGCACGATAACGAGACACCCCGGCAGGCTATAAAGGCCTGAATTTTTGTGATTTCGATTTGTTGCCATTGACACCTAATTGTTGTGGCAAATATGCCACTACGTAGCAACGAAACTGCAGGCTGAAGCTGTCAGCAGCCTGTTTGGATTACAACTTAGCTGGAAGTCCCCTCTACTAATTAAGCATACTAAGATTTCCTTATAGTTTTAAATAACATTAATTTAAATTACTTAAATTTTTCAAATGAAATTGAGCCATTTGTATGTTGAGCAGATTAATAATTATTTAACAGTATTCACATTTTAAATTAAGAAGATCATATTTATGCATAACTTCAGTATACAGTACAAAAAGATATATTGTTCCTCCAATAAAAAAAATCCAGTTGGTTATCAGTGTCATTTTTTGATTAAATACCAGAGAAGTGTTAATTGTATCCAATCATCTTTTTGGAGCGGAGGGGAGGGGAGGGGAGGGGAGTGGAGGGGGTGTTCAGATCATTAGGCATTTTTGGTAAGCTTTCCATCTACCTCTTCCCTAAGCCAACATTAACAGTACCTTGTTCTCAATTAGGGCAAAAAGGAGGGACCGGAATTATTGCATACAGGTCAGTAGTAGTAATAAATTACCAACCTGGACTTTCATTTCACCTAAAATGAAGCCACCCATGTAGTCATGTGCCTTTAAATTATTGGCTCTAGCTTCCTCGAGGCACCGTTTCAAACTATTTGAATCCCATCCCGGATGTTGGGGGGGTTTTGTTCTTGTAGTACCCTACAAATATTTATTCACATAAATATTATATAATGAATTATTTCTGTGGAACTATGATGAAGGTAGATCACTAAGAGGACCAAAAACTTGCACAGTTTGGTTTGGTATCCTGTTATAGTGGAGCCCTGGCGTGGGAAGCGCACCTGCAGAGCACCATGGGTAAGTAAATCTACCCACCCCAGAAAATTTGGTAGTCACGTGACCGTACACCACCCGCCTGCCTGCTGCCCATCCGTCTGCACCACAGGCATACCAATGCAAAATTTGGGGTAGTCTGTGAGTCTGAGGTCTTTTTTGTGACGAGCAACGGGAGAGAGAGCAGGAAAGGGATAGAGAAAGGAGGCACAATTTTACTGACGAGCAACGTGAGAGGGAGCAGGAAAGGGACAGAGAAAGAAGGCGCATTTTTACTGATGAGCAACGTGAGAGGGAGCACAAGAGAAACAGAGAAAGGAGGCAAAACCTCACTGAAGAGCAACTGGAGAATGAAAGAGAGAGAGCCAGAGAAAATAGACGCCGAATTAGCGACGAGCGGCGAAGAAGAGAGCGAGAAACAGCAAGGGGAAACAGGCAAGACAAGACAGGAACATCAAAAAAGTTACAGTATAATGCTCATTGACATATTTTCGATCTGTCTGGTACGCGGAAAACCCAAGGTAATCTTAATCTTGTGCAACTTATGTAATTCCATCGAGAATTTAGTTTAAATAACCATTTACATTTTTTTCTGTCCGATCTGACTGTGCAATGAATTGCTCAATAAAACTGTGCATCCTTCTGTAAGCCTACGTAAGCTGAAAATTTTTTACTGTGACCCTGGCCTTCGTGACAAGTGAAAAATTTTTCAGTGTTAGATGATCGTAAGTTACATGTAAACAGCCTAATGTCTGTGAAAGCGTTATTATGTTTTGTCCAAAGTCTTGGGATGTCACTGTTTCATCCTTGTGCCTGGCGGACAGTAGCTTGAAATTGAAGATGTTTTGCCCTGGTTTTGCCATGATGCTCTTTGAAAGAGCTAATTTGTTGCAGATTGTTTGGATTCTTGCAGGCCGACTATTTACTTTTTAAACGCAAACAGAATTTAAAGGAGCGTTAGATTTGCTTTTGTTAAGTGTAAGAGCTATTTGGCTGGCTATTCTTCCTCTTGTAATTGAAATATCTTTTTTTAGTATTGGGCTTTTCCATTTTGTAGATTATCCTATCTTCTTATGTTTTATGTAAATAAGAAAGTCATGAAGTCAGTGTTCGAACTGATTTTTGAATAGTGGCCGCAGTCACGTTGTCAGGCCAAACAAATCTTAGTGTGGTCATTGTTTCCTGCCAAACAAATTGTAGCTCGAACCGGTCAAAATACAGGAAAATTGACAAGCAAGAACCTGCATGTTCTCATAAATAGCCTTAACAGGTTCTTACAAAAATAGTTATTTGCTAAAATTTGGCTATTTTTCTAGAATAAATTGGTTCTGATTTAGTGAAGGAAAAACCATTGTGGCTAATTATATAAAGAGTACTTATAAAGAGGCTTTCAATGGGGTGATGTCTCCTAAAGAGGTTCCTGAATATTGTTCAAGTGAAAAGAATTTTGTCATATAGTGAAAGTCTGTCAAATATATTTAGGATAAACACTGGCTAGGTTCTTTTATGGAGGGGGCATAACTGGCAAATTTATAGCCTTAGAGGTTCTTAAAAACCAGGTTCTCAGTCACAGGTTTGTACTGTATTGAAAACATTGTACTTTGCAGTAACAGGCAAATTAAGACAAAAAATTTCCCCATAAATGCTCAAAAACTCCTTGTATTGTGAGATGGGGAAATATAGAATTTTAGGACGAACATATCTTATTATAAACCACTTTTGAGTGCGGTTATCAAGTTATGAAAGTAACATTTGTTTAACAAACGATGAGCTAAGCCGTGTAAAAGCAGTTATTTAAATTTGGAAATTATTTCATTTTATCAGTATTGCTTTGTTAAGTCTCCTTACTTTATTTAACTTACAGTAAAAACCTGCGTGTTTCATGAACCTACTTTTTGAAATACAGTGAACTCTTGCCTTGTGTACATCTTGCTATAAAGGAACACCCTGATAATATGGACGGCAGCTGAATCCCAAGCAAAAATAAATTACAGACGTTTCACTGAAATAACCTTCCGCTTTTATGGACTATCACTAATGAAGACACTTAACTCAAGCTCCCTATAGTGTCCACTATAAAGGAAGTTGACTGTATGGCAAAATAGGTTCTTTTACTTTGGATAGTTATTAGCAATATTTATGCATACTTAGTAAATTTTGGTTAAATTAGGTCCATTTTTCTCTGTGAAAGATATCATATTATAGTCTTTAAGCAGAAGAAAAATAAATACTATTTTTGCTTCAGTTCTAAAATCCATAAGTGTATCTCTATAGTTAATCATAGTTAAACTATAAACCTAATAAAAGAACCTGCTTGATCTTTCTTGGTTTAAAACATGTAGCTTCTTGTAGATTGCGAGCAGTCTCTTGTTTTTCTTTGCAAAGTTACTGCACGCGAAACCTAAGCACGTGAGAGGCAAAGCTGGGAACCGCAAGAAACGAGGGCATAAGCTCAAGAAGAAAAAATAAGAGACTGCTGACTCTTGTTCTGTCTGGGGACAATGAAGCTGTCAAGGTAATTCAATTAGTCAATAAACACGAGTAACTTGAAACGATTTATAAATAGAACATAAACAACTGAAAAAATTACTCTTTAAATCCGGTAAGATTACGTTTCCCTTAAGGAAATTTACAGCAGCTTTCTTCTGTAAGACATCCTTAAAAGTTTTATTACTGAGATTACTGTTTGGTTTGCTATTGTTGTTGGTTGTGACGCATGACTACTTTTATTGGTTGCAATCTCACCACAGACCAGTCAATGATCTGTCAACAGCTGTGCAATTGAGCAATCCGTTGCTCTGTTTCTGGGCTGATGGAGGGTTTGTTTACTACAAAAGAGTCAGCAGTCCGTCTTTTCTCGTCTTGTCCCTGTAATAATAACATTGTGGTTTGGAATCGCGCTGGATGAGATAAGAACTAGACGGATTTTAAGAAAAGGCGGACTGCAA